GGGGGGGTCACAAAGCATCTGGACCACCCTGTACATGCACACACCAAGCTGGTCAGTGGGGTTAAAAACAGGAAGCATTTAATAAAAAGACGTAAAAGTGCATACTTTGCTGTTCTGAGAAAAATAGATTTTGGTGCACTGCCCTCTTCTGCTCATCACATCGCCCTGCAAACCATCAATTATCATTTGTGCGGATGTCACCCAACGCAAGCAAATCGCCGCCCGGCTCACACCTGCTTAGCCTATTCCGGCTAAGTATTTAATTGGCCATACTCAGCAGGCAAGATTAACGAACATGACCCTTTCTTATTGACAATGATGTACAATGACGCACACTGATGTCTCGCTTTTCGTCATTAAGTTTTTACATCAGGCTACCCTACGTTGGACTTCTTTCGCACCGTACGAGATACGGTTGGGGTAAATCACTTGGGTCCTTGGGCCATTTAGGGGCCATCCATTGAGTAGGTAACGCAAAAATCTGTCAAAACTTGACCCCTTCCCCCCCTCCCTGTACGCACGCGGACTTTTTACACCCCCCATCCACCCCCCTACGAATCCTATAGAACGGCCGATATTCAATCCACGTATAAACGATCAATATTAACGTGTTTAAGCAAACAGATAGTCCACCGCCGGACTGTCTAACTCATCTGAAGGCCAATGTAGACGAATTATTATCGAGGCTTCACCCCCCCCACCCCCCCCCCGTAACGCACTAAATGGATGGCCCCTTAATATTGCACAGGGACATAGAATTTAAATAAATGCTGAATATAAGTTGTAGCGGCTTTGCTTTTGGGGTGGGTGATGGGCGAGTAAGGGGAGTCACGTGGGGGGTGAGGGAGTCACGTGTGCAGAGAGGGGGCGGGTGTCGCGCGCGCGCGAGAGTCACGTGGTAGTAGCGGCGGCGGTGACGTGGGGCGGAGAGAGGCGCGCGCGAGCCGGGCAGGGGGAGGGAGTCACGTGGGGCCAGAGGTGGTTGGCGCGCGCGGGAGAGTCACGTGGTAGTAGCGGTGGTGGCGGCGGCGGTGACGTCACGCGGCATGGCGCCCTCGGCCGCGCGGAGGCCGCATCGGCGCGGCGAGGAGGCGGCGGCGGCGGCTGCCGCGGGGCTGTGGGCGAAGCGAGCGGCGGCGGCGCTCGCCATCGTCCTGGCGCTGTTCCACGGCGCGGACAGGCACCTCACGGGTAGGAGGGGGTTGATCTGGCGGCGGGGGGGGGGGGACGCGATGCGACTCGACGCAACGGGTCGTGCGCGTTGTTGACTGCGCGCATTTCAACATCTCCACACACGAGGATTATATCGGCACCATCGCGCCAGACGTCGTTCCCACATCGTCACCGACATCTTCATTGCCACGTGCTGGATAGTGCACCGTCACGTCAGATGTGCTAACAGCATCATCATCGTCGTCGTCGATGTTGTGTTGTAGACAATGCACCACCACGTCAAATATGCCGACATCATTAGCGACGCATCGACAGCCTCGACATGTGAACGATGACAGTCGCCTGTACAGTCAACGTTACTGTCAACGCGACACCACAGCAATGGCATCGACAATAATAAACAACATTTAACAGCCTCGCCGACACGCTGCAATAACCCTCACCGACACGCCGTCGATACCATCAATACAACAACACAGCAACACAAGCACTGCTGTGTTATTGGGGGGGGGACGTTTTACGTGGTGTTGACAGGTGGGGCTTGCAAATAACCCGAGGTCGCCAGTGCCATCACCCCGTACGGCAGTTCACAATTATGAGTACAGTACACTCCACCTGTTTTTTTGTCAAAAGACGTATGGCCAGCGTGGAAGATAAAGCCGCATACGCTCGAGTTTTAAGTTTCAGGATGGTTTGTTTAATCCGGTGACAACTCGAGAAACCAGACTCGTGTCTCATTGGCAAGAGTCACCCGGGGCCAGTTGTCTGCCAATAAGGGGGTAATTAAACAGGTCCCTGCAGGGTGGGCTGGTAGGACAAGTTCTCTGCGCTGTCTATTGCTGATTTTACACCCAACAGCACGAGATTTCACTTCGTTAAAGTATTGAAAGGGGACGGACGGACGGACACATTAATCTATTGCAGGCTGGTACACTCAGTTTACAACTTCGTTCCTACCAGTATTAATGCTGCGTAACAAACATCTCGAGTAATTTGCAGGTTCGTTTTCGAATTTGTACCCTGGCCCACCCTTTCTTGCCAAAGATATCGGGGGATTTTATTTTGATTTAAAGCTTTCGTGACTGCAGGGATTCATATTCTTGGTTCTACGTGACTTTACCGAAAGAACCAATAATATATATCAGGGAATGTTTAACGTCCGCTGTGAGAAAGACGGCGCGTATTATGATGATTACACCCCCCCCCCCCCCCCCAGTAAATAAACAGGATGGTCTCTGGATTAGAACCTGGAACCTCTGCAACAGGCGTCGGAACGCGCTAACGCTGGGCCATGTCACCATCATAAAAAGGGGGTATCTCTCTAAAACCCCCGTCGAGTGGAGGCCCATTCGCCAGCAGTGGCGCGAACAAGCAATTTGCACGGATGAAAACCTCTACCTTTTTACGTCACATGTACGCGAATGCTTAACACATGTAAGGCCTAACACGGCGCACGGAGTTGGGCATAATCCACCAATCTACCTAGCACGTCCGCACGAGCCGATATTATCGCCCTCGTCTCCACAGTCGTTTCTCTTCCTCGTGGACGCTTTCCTTTTGCTGCCACACGAGTTGTTATTCACGACCACCGGCCATCAGCACTTATAGCCACGTATTCGGTCCAAGCCCACGTTTCTTAACTGTTAATGTTTGTATTTAACTTCTATTTACCGTAGTATGTCAGTGTAATCCCAAAACATGCATCTCTCCATACTTCTTTGCACGATTTTTGTTCCTTTTTGTCAGCGTCCATCCCTATATCTCAGCAGGTATTTCCTCCGGAGACATCGGTATGTTGCTTGACATGAGCAAAGTTCAGCATTCCAGAAGTGCTTCGATCCACTCACATCTGCCTTTTATTTTATCAACATAGCAAAAACATTACTGGCCAGCAAGCAGCAGCATGGTGCAATGTAACACTGAATGCTTAACTGCTCGAAGGCCCTGGGTTCGATTCCCGACTCGGGTGCCTTTGTGTGGAGTTTATGTGTTGTGCATTGATTTACTCCCATAGCTAAAAAAACATTTTTAAAAATCTCAATTGGGATGACACAGTAACATCATACTGTGAAAATCGAACCCTCTTGAAACAGTTTTGACTCTTTCGTGGGTAAGCAAGAATAATAATAATGATGACATCAGCATTAATAGTCTCATCAACAATAATTCCATTATTGCCAACATCCTCAACACTATCAACAAGAATGTAATGCTAATGCTGTACCATTAACATCAGCAGTTTAATGAACAATATAAATAAAAAATATACTACAATATGATTACCACCGTCAATATAACACGATAATCATCACTATCAATACAGTCAATACAATCACAATACTACCACCATCAAAACGCAGACTATGAACGCAACATTATTACCACAAACACCATCATGAGCACCATTAACACCAACACTATAAACATAAACACCACCACGATCGCCACCATCGTCACTGCCTGAACAGCAGCATCAACAACACCACCATAATCGTCACCATCACCACCCCATCCATGGTGCCACCCGTCTTGGCACCCCTACCCCGTACCCCTCAGAGTACAGGGGCATGACCCCACAATCGTCGCTCTGCACAAAGACAAGGGCTCCCCGTTCCTCGCACTGCTATCTAATTTCTCTGGAGCTTTTTTGTCACTGTGTTTTTTTAGCCCGTTTGAGTTAACCGTTTTTTTTTCAAAACCTGGACAGCCCACGTTTAGCGACCCATGACAGCTGCTTGTGTGCAGGTGGAGACACGTGTGCAGGGCTGCTCAATGATGGCCGTTTCCTTGGAGATGAAGTCTGGCAACCACGGGGCTGCATGATGCACACGTATAGGACAAGGTGACGCACTTATCACGCCATGCTTATTGTACTGTGGTGTTCCATACATTAACGGATGTGTACACTGCCTCTGTGGTAAAGACTACAACTCCGGATGTGTTTTGAATCGCTTCTTAAATTAACATTGGGCAGTGTTTTCATTTGCTAGCTGAGCCAGTTGCGACAATTACATATTCAGCCATTTGCCATAGGACAATCAATGTTTATTTCCCACATAGTTCTATACTTGTTATATATAAGCTCATAACATGTATATGTATGAACGTAATTCCTCGTGTTTTTGCTTTTTTTACCTTCACGAATTTATACGCGTGTAGTGATGTATATTGAGTCACTATGGCGTCTAGCGCCAGCTATTGGAAGAAGAGTGGTACTGTGCATGTTAGCGTCTCTCTGGCACCAGAGTGTATGGCATAGAAGCGGGCCCTAGGGGGCATGCTTCTGGTGACGGCCTGAGAGAGGGCACTTCAGGACATGACAGTCTGGGTGAACCTGAGAGGGAACGTGACCAGGAGAGGGGAGCCAAGGGGTGGCGAGAGGGACACGTGACATAAGGCCCAGAACCTTCGAGTAGGATCTAGAAGGGGTGTGGCCTAGGGTGGGGTCAGGCCACGCTCAGGGGCATAAAAGGGAAGTTCCGAGCGCCGATGCAGGCTGTCTTCTGGAATCAACCCGCCGTGCTACCTCTCCTCGATCTTGGGTCGTCACGTTCGGCATCGTGGGTCAGGCAGTACGTTCCTGACCCGGTTACGTAGTTGCCCGTTGTGGTTTAGGCGCTAGTGGAAGTTAGCTACCACCTATGTCGTTATCCCGTATGTGTATGTAGTTACCCTGTCGGGGTGTTGTAATAAACGTGTTGCCTCCAAGTTCTAGTGTGTGTCTCCATGGATGCCACTACACCCGTAATGCAATTATGCATATTCGTCGTGCTGTATGTTTTACACTTTATAACATTTTCATATAATTTGTGTCTCGCACCTTGCAGTGAGATATCAGATTGTTTGAGAGGCAAGCAAGTGACTTTTGTGGGCGATTCAAGAGTTAGGCAGCTTTTCTATGCCTTCACAAAGCTGATCAACCCACAGAGGCGAGATGAAGGTAAAAAGGTATGTCTCTTGGTAGTAATATACAAATTTAATAGTCATGCAGTTTAATTGAAAGCAACAATAAAGAAGACTGATATAATCACACCATAGTAATCATTTTAACTCGCACCATGGTAGCTGCTTTTTCACATTCATAATGCAACCAAAGATGAAAATTGTATATTAAAAAAAAGCATGGGCATGTAAATGCTTTGAATGATATTGCGAGACAGAGAGTTGCATGGATTAGGGAACAAATGGAAAATTACATATTGACTTTGAAGGAAAGTAAGTTGGCTTGCGAAGGACACCTGGATAAGATGATGGCCGATGGATGAGACTCAGCCTAAGAGCTTAGCCGTCCGGAGATGAAGTGATGAGATCATCTGATGTGCTGTGAAGCGAGCTATATTGAAGCATTGTCAGGACTGAGGTGGTTTGGGTTGTGGTGATGTCATTCAGGAGTGGATACAAATATGATAGAAATGCCAACAATACAATTGTTTTTTAAAGTACCAAACAAATGTAAAACTTTTTGTCGACTAAATATGATTTCCCATTGAATGTTTTTATCAAATTGCATTTTTAAGTCACGTATTTTTTTCCATTTCCCACAGCATACAAATATTACATTTGAAGAAAAACAAATAAAACTGAAAGTGGTAAGTTTCTTCTTTTGTTTAAACGTTTCTAACAAGTGATTGGTCAAATTTAAAGTTTGCGTTGATATAAAAGTGTACATATAATAAAACCTCACTTGTCTATATTATATTCTAACCGTGCTAATCGTGCCACCTTGCAACCTAGCAGTGCCTCTGCCTTGGACGCATTTTTGTTTTTTGGTGCCGTTTCTTAATTTGTGTTTTTTTGGTAGTAGGATTTTCACTTGCTTGGTAGTGGCTGTATATGGGATTTGGTCCTCATATATAACTAGCCTTTTGCCCGTCCAAGGATTGGTGTATTGTAGTAAATCTGAAAGTTGCAAGCAAAAAGCAGACCGCAACGTGATATTAATTGCATTAATGCGTGTGCAATTTGTAAGGGCGCGGTGACACAGACCTATTTAATTTTCAGGTTATAATCCCTTGTTCATCATGACGTCCTTTTTACTTTGATGTCACAATAGCGTTATGGAGATCACGTGATGTGAGGGTTCTGGCTTTGTAGTGAGGGTTGTAAGTTGACGCCGTTTAGGGGGGAGGAGGCGCCTTGGCCCCCCATGTGGAGTGACGTCAGCCGCTAATTATTATGAATGGGGGCGGGGGGGGGTTGTTCATTTGTAGGTCGTCATTTTATAGCTATTATTAATGAGGGGGGCTGTTCGATGTGGAGTGATGTCACCTGCTCATGATTATTCATGAGGGGGGAGGGTACTCCATTTGGAGTGACATAACCTCATGATTATTAATGAGGGGGGGGGGGTCCATGTGGAGGACGTAACCTGTTCATGATTATTAATGAGGGGGGCCCTCTTATTGACAAACTGATGTCAGTTTGCAGGCCATTTGCTGAGCTATCTTGTGCCCACAGAGATATCTGCTACTGACGGTGCCCTTTTCAAATATTTGAGTTGAGATATGATGTAAACCTCTCCTGCGATGCCCTGGCATATTGGTCACTATATAAAAATAATCAAAATGCCAGTATCTAAAGTTTTATACATTGTTTTTCCAGAACTTTTTTTGGTACCCGGAAATAAACAGCTCAGTCAATAACCTTTTCAAAGCATGGAATGAGGTGAGCACATCGTTTAATAATATAAAAAAATAAATCCTATTAAAACATTACTCAAATTATTTCAAAATTAATATTTGTTCCTGATTATTGAATCTAATGTCTAATAAATTATACAAATACCATCGTAATGGACCCATAAAGTACTGTAAAATGTACGTGTAATCTTTTTGTAAATGACAATAACGTTGTTGTGGGACCATTTACTGTTTATATTAAAGAGTTAATTGAAAAACATAAGTGTAAATTTAAATGAGCCACGAGCACACACCCTGTTTTGTTTTTTTCTGTTTTGATTAGGACCGTCTACCAAGGCCCGATATGACTGTGATTGCTGCCGGAACTGTAAGTAAAATTGAGGAATTTAAAGTACAATTTTTTATACCTCGTTTGCAATTTGTTAATATAATATATGTCAATTAAAATGTGCACATCATGTAACGTTTTGATGATTAATACTCTTTAGGATAATAATAAATCTTGTCTGGATAAGGCAATGCTAAAATTACTGCGCTCATTTATTAATGTTAATTTTCCGATGTTCTGAACACCGCAACACAGACTGCTTACAGCATATGTTCAGACTAACCATGCAACACTATGAAGTCCACTTTCTCACAGGCATGATGAATTGTATGCTTTGCAGTGGTCAATCAAACTAAACAATGGGAGTGAAGAGGCATTGACACAATACAAAATAAATATCACTGCCTTACTGCCTCACATGAAACAACTGGCAGCTGACAGCCCTGTCTACTGGGTCCTGCAAGGTAGAGCTGTGTTTATTGCGTTGTATTGTAAATTTAATGATACAGAAAGAATGTTGATTTGTGAATACAACTGTGGTAACGATGCTGGATTTTTTTATTTTCATTAGCGTATAACTTCTAGCTTGTGACAGCTGCAAGATCATCAAGATGAGTTTAATGCTCACATGGTTTAGTCTGATTACAATCAGTTATGTTGAGTTTTTTTTTTTCTTAAACATCCTGTACATGCCATGAGAAATACCGCCATCTGAAAACAATGTGCAGGCCAAGTAATTCTAGTCTCTCCCTACATACTGTGGGGATGCCTGTGGGGTTTGTGTCACCGTTACAATTATCTGCAGCTTATAGGAGTTTCTAGAATGCAACATGCATTTTATTGACTTGCAGTACTGCTCATGTTTCGGAGGGGGTGATGGTAGGCAGCTTGCCCTTGGAGGCCCCATCCGACAGTGCTTTATATCTGAACGGAATATTATTCCAGATATGTTTAGGGACATTTTTAAACCAATGTTTTCCAAAACATGTTATGATTTTGTGATATCTTACTTAACAGACTTCTTTAGTATGAACGTCATGATGGACCAGTTCATGTGTTTCCAGTATAGATTAGTTTAATCTGACTTGATCATAGGTATAACAATGCGTGATTTAATATATATTCTTAAGCTCACAATATATTAATCGAATTATATGTGTAAGAAGAGACGTTTATTTGTATAAGATATAATGGGTTCACATTATGATGATGTTCACGACTATAAAAAAAATCTATTCTTGACTTGAGGTGCTGTCCTCAATCACTACAAGTCATCAAATAATACATCATTCCACCTCTAGATGTACATTATTGTTACTGCAATATGACCTTTCATCATGTTTTTAACAGGCATAGGTAAATTAAGAAGGTACCATTATATTATGCTGACAATGCTCCAAGTGAAATGCAGTTGCATTTAGATGCTCTACAAATCCAAATGTTAATGGTATTAGTTAAAACATGTCACTTTATGTATCTTGCATTGATATAAAATATTTTTTGAAAACCCCAACTTAGTATAGTTTCGTATCCTTCACAAAGGATACATGAGCCTTAATAAATGAAAAGGTGCAAATGCATCACATTAAATGAATGTGCATTAAGGATTTACTTTGTTATATATTACTGTTTAACTAAAATGTTATTGCTGACAACTCTTACAATGCAACTGCATCTTAAACTGCTGTACACATAGGGGGAAAACATTTACTTTTCAAGAATTTTGAAAAGGGAAGGGGTGCATTGTGTATTACAATTTTGAGCAAGGAATGTTACAGGCCACAGAGGGAGGTTGTGGGCACCATGGTGGCAAAATGTTAACTACATCGCCTGGTATACAGGAGGTCATAGGTTCGATCCGACTCTGACGTCTGTATATTTGGAGTTTGCATGTTCTCCCCGTGGTCATGTGGAATTTTCTTCAGGTCCTCTGGTTTTTCCCTCCACTTTTAGAAACATGCGTCGAGAGTATTTGGCTGCTATACATTTCCACATGATTAGCCACTTTGTTGAGCTTTCATTTGTGGCCAGGTTGCTGCTGAAAAAGAGCTATATAGCTCAGTGGGCCTTACTTGGTAAAATATAAATTGCTTATAGTTTTTAATAAATTTCATCATATGGAAAGACAGTTGTAGATCAGACAGGAGGAGGGAGAGTCTTGAGCAGTGGATCTCAGCAGTGTGTGTGGTCAGAGGAAAGGAAATCCACGTATTGTTTTCATTTTCCCATTGAGTAAAGGTTTATGGGAGATTATAACAGAAGGCTTGCATTGATGATGATGTGAGATGGAAACGAATTTAGTGCTCTTTAATAAGTACTACTTTAAAATAATTATATTGCCATTTGAGTTGTATATTTTGAAAATAATGTTTTGCAACATTATTGGTTCTGTGTTATCTACAGACCCTGTGAATGAAGCTATCCTCTCAGAACGTCGACGAATGATCACAAACGTTCGAATTGATTCTTACAATGAAGCTGTCCTTAACATGTTTGGCTCTAGTAGCACTAACTCTGGTAGTGGTGGCCAGTTGTTGGTGTTGAAGGCATCACAATTAATAGCGCAGGCAGGGCTGGATAAATGCTCTGATGGACTGCACCTTCCTGAGAGTGTGTTAACCACCGTGAGTTTTTTTTATTGTCTCTAATCTCTGTTTTCGAGTTATTATAAATGTATAATTGTATTGCAACTCATCTTGGAGATAAATCAATCCTAAAATTTAAATGCACTTCAATCGTAAATCTTTCTACAAGTGCAGAACAGCTCATCAGCAACAATATACTGATAAAACACTGCTTATAATTGGTGAGGTCCGTCGAACATAAAATGAACATGTTAATTGAACAAACATGCATAGAAACTTACATTTAGTTGAGGTTAAATGCACATACAATATTGTAATTGAATGCACGTTGTGTATGTGTACCTGCCAGGATGCCATGATTCTACTGAATGCATTGTGTAACCCAGTGATCCAGCCAGTGGATGGTTCGTGCTGCCTGCCACAGCCACGCACAACACTTGTGCAACAGGTCGTCGCCTGTGTGTTTGTGCTGTGCGCTCTTCTTAGCGTGGTTGTGCGCACGTGCCATCGTCCACGCAGGGCTAGTGTGCGTCCCAGCACAGACGAGGAGAGTGGGGAAGAAAAGAAATTGCCTGTCATCAGCCCACTGTCAACTTCATTCTCCCTGGAGACTGTGGTTCGGCCTGTCGCCAAGCTTGGGCTTATCATGGCGTACTTCTATCTTTGTGATCGAGCAAATCTGTTTATGAAAGAGCAGAAGCACTACAGCCACACTTACTTCTTTGTGCCTGTGATTTACGTCATGGTGCTTGGAATATTTTACTCTGACACTGCCAAAGATGTAAGTTAACACTTGTTGCAATGTGCAAATTCATTTTTGTTGAATGGCATTATGAGTGCCCAACTTACAAAGTGATGTAATTAAAATGAAATGAATTGTAAATTTTTCAGACTGCAATAATAATGACACCTCTGTAAAACATTGCGTCAGGCTCAAGCTTGTAGATATTTAAAAACTTATTTCAGCAATATAATCCCTAGTTTTGCAATTTAAATTTGCTGAACTGTATTCTCCACAGAGTTCCATGCTGAACCGAGAACAAACTAATGAGTGGAAAGGCTGGATGCAGCTTGTCATCCTAATATACCACATCTCTGGAGCCAGTGCAGTACGTGTTTAGTCAAAATAATACCACTTAGAAGTCCACTGCATTAAAACTAAATTCATATTTCTATTGTACAGCATATTACGCTTGTATAACAACACCAACACATTTGCAGTTAACATGCTGTACAATTGATATGCTTTCATACATTTAAAAAAATGTGTTAGGATTTCTAGAAAACTAAAGTGGTGTGCCTTGTGTGTACAGTTCCTCCCGGTGTACATGCATGTTCGAGTATTGGTGGCTGCCTATCTATTTCTCACTGGATATGGACACTTCTATTACTTCTGGAGCAAAGGAGATCTGGGCTTGCACCGTCTCCTTCAGGTAAGGAAATATTTATGGATGTGTTACATTTTTCAGAACATCTCAAATCACAAAAAGCGCACACGCCCATCTACGCAACATCAGATTGATAATCTCATACATCGTTAAAAACAGGTCATCCCTCATAACCCCTTGGCTAGAATATTGCAACTCACTACTTTTTGGCATACCTCAAACACAGCTACAATGCCTTCAAATCATCCAGAATAATACCTCTAGACTAATTTTCAACCTCCAGAAATCATCCCACATCACAAACGCGAACAAACTGACACTGGTTACCAATCCAATACAGAATATGCTTTGAAATTATCCTATTAGCATACAAGCAATACACAAGCTCCACCTTACAGAAACCTCATACAGATCAAGCAAAACAACACATCACTTGGCTCTGAACCCAAACACTTCCAACCACCAAAAACCAAACACAAAACCATGGGAGACAAATCTTTCTCATTCGCAGCACCACACATGTGGAACGATCTCCAGAGGTGTGGTGTTTAGAGTCTTTATAATTGTATTATTTAGTTTTAATGTGATGGCGCTTTGAATGGCAGATTTATGCCAGAAAGGTGGGACGTATGTACAAAAAAATAAAAATGTACTGGACTTATACCTCAAATAGCTTCTGCTGGCTAGATGAACCGGAGTACATGTATCTTCATTACATTATTTTTACATTATTATTCATGGTACCTTTTTGGTAGAAACCAACAATGAGTAAAATAGTTACGGTAAATGTTGCAACGAAACGCTATTGAAAATTTTAAGCATCAACCTTATCCACTTAAATACATTGTAGTTCAGTTTTTTATGTAATTTTTGTAATTAAATGTTTTAATGATAGTTCTAAAAATTATTTATGTATGATATATTCCTTGTTTCCAGATTCTCAGTGTTCCTGTACAAATATAGTACAGTAATGAGCTTTGTGTTTGTAGGTGTGTTTCCGCCTTAACTTCCTGGTGGTCATCCTGTGTCTGGTGATGGACCGCCCTTACCAGTTTTACTATTTTGTGCCGCTGGTCACTGTGTGGTTTGTCGTCATGTTCCTGCTTCTCTCCATTTGGCCTCAGATCAGTGCCAAGATTTCCAATGGTCAGTATAGTATAATGTAAGCCGTCCTTGTGAATAAAAACGAAATACACTATGCAGTCGGCTAATATCGAGGTGCACAAAAGCATTCGTAAATATGCAATACTGTTGATTTGTCATTAATATGTAAGTCAATATTGTGACAATCTGAATCTTACATCTGGTATGTGTTGCCTTAAATGAATACATGACCGAGAAAATGCATCACATTAGAGGGAAACTCAAATTGTACAACCATGTGATTTAATTGCACTGGATTTGTTATGGTGATACATGCACATGCCTGTACAATCATACAATACTCTATAGTAAAATGTGTATTTATATGGTGTATAAAAGCAACCACATTGCAACACTGCAATAATAGTGAGTGGCTAATAATGTGTACACTCAAAGATTTTTACGTGGGTATCCATTCGGTTGCCTATTTTCATAAATGTATGCATGCTTTGCGGTGCTATAACACTGCATTATACTGTAACATTGTATTGTGTTTGCAGGAAGTGTATTTTTTAACATAATTTTGATCTTGAAGTTTTGTGGACTCGTGACCTGCATTGTTCTCCTCTCAGCATCAAAGGTTCACATTTTTTTGTACCTAAAAATTATTTAAATAAACATGAAAATAAAGAGGCAGTTATTGAGAATATAGTCATACATATCTCCATTCCTATTGTAAAAGTTTGAAAATCATTAAATTCACATCTTTGATATATATTGAGTGTCAAAATTTAGTTTCACTATTGTGTTAATGTTTGTGTTTTGGTTTGAGGTGATGACATCAATTTTAAAATATATTTTTTTTAGTTTTGACTGCTTGAAGCAATGACTCCGAATAGCTATGACAACATTCATAAACTGTTTGTCAATAGATTACTGTATATGTTTAACCCCTAATGAAGACCACAGTTAAAGTGAAGTAGTCATGTTGTGAATTGATTATTAAAATATAATATTCATTAACTCAACATGTTCCTTTTACCTACAGGACTTTTTTGAAAAGATGTTTTCCTTCTGGCCTTTGTCTGAGTTATTTGAACTTAATGGGAATCTAAATGAATGGTGGTTCCGCTGGCAGCTAGATCGCTTCGTAAGTATTTTTTACAAGTTCTTCAAACGCCTCATTTCCTTTTGCATTTGCCATTCAGACAGATCTGGACATGAGCACCGTGTTAACTCCTGTTTTGTCAGTCGGTGGTGCAGGGCATGCTCTTTGGTTTCGGATACCTCACCCTGCGACGGCTGCAGCTGCTTGGGGACTCGTATGGAGATGGACTGCTTCCCCCACGCCTCTCGCTTACTTTGCTTATCCTGGCCATTGCCAGCCTCACGGTGAGCAATTGTATGTGTTTGGAACGTCTTTAGCATCGTACGTAGCCATCCATGCTCGCCAGAGGTGTGGGATTTACCTCTAAAATCTGTTTAAATACAGTAAAAAAAATAGTTATATTTGCTTTTACATAAATATCAACCTCTTATATCCCCGATTGAAAATATGGAATGGTTAGGTCACTTTCAGAGATTAATTAGGCTCATTACTGGGCATTGAAAATGTATGATTGGCAGTCAATGATAAACCTATCTTTACGATAATTGAACTTAACATTTTATTTGATATGTTTTTAATCCAAATATTTAAACACTGTTTCCTTAACTCAAAATAGTCCCAAGTGTACATTTGTTGCACCAGGGGTTCCCACTCTGGTCTGTACACAACTGGTGGTCCACAAAACTGTTACAGATATATATTTTTTCATAATACACCAAATGTTTGACTGTGTGGTGGTCTGCGAAAAATGTTGAGGGTTGACTGGTCTGCAGGTCCAGAACAGTTAAAAACCACTAGTTTACACTAAAGTGTTTGGTTCTACACATACATACAGGTATATTTAAGGAGTAAAATTTGATGTATCCTTTTTGTGTAGTATTTTACAGACGTGTAAATGTTCTTCTCTCCATAAAGGATATGATTAATGTCCATTTTTCAGGGTTTTTCAGTTTGGGCAAGTAAATGTAAGAATAAGACTGAATGCAACAAAGCTCACCCGTTCATCTCTGTTGTACCAGTGAGTAACATTTCTGATGCTTTATTTTTCAAATTACTACATTTGTATTCATGCACTGTTGATAAAAAAAAATGTTGCTTTAAATGCGTGTTGTAGATTTATAGTCCACAATGCATTTAATGTTTGTTAAGTTTGATGCAACTCTTTCCCATTTATAGATTTTGGCCTTTATTTTCATAAGAAATTTACCAGGATGCTTGCGTCACAAGTACAGCACCTTTTTTGCTTGGTTTGGAAAACTGTCATTAGAGGTAAGACTTTTTTAAAGAAAGCTAACATTTGTTTTAACACACAAATGTAAAAAAACAGTGTGTTTGCATTTTTAAATGAGAAGCGGGTCATGTGATACATTTTCATATTGTTGTTCCCCCCCCCGCTTTTATTTTCCAGTTGTTCATATGCCAGTGCCACATCTGGCTAGCAGCAGACACTAAAGGGATCCTTGTTCTGATCCCAGGCATCCCCTTTCTCAACTTGACTGTGACCACGTTCATCTTTACTTGTGCGGCCCATGAGATCTTTGAAATCACCAACACACTGTCACATGTGCTTATTCCTAAGGAGGGCGGTGTACTGTTCAAGAAGTTGTTGTGTGTCGGTGCCATCCTCCTGGTACTCCTCTTGCTCCACTGGATCCACCAACGGTTGCCGGTCTGATGAGGCTTTTGATTCCAGTCAGAGGTGTCCTATGTAATAGTGATTCTCAACCTTTTTTTAACTGGCATCCCTTTACAAGGGCAATAAAAATGTCAAGGAGTGGGCACGGAACCCCTCAGTAATCCCTTTGCAATGTCGGGGCCCCTTCGTCTTTTTATGAACAACAAATATATCTATAAATCCCGAGGGAGCCAGAGATCATTGGTTGAGAATCCCCCACTTTATAGGATTTTGAAGTTAAATAAAATCCCAAAATATGACTTTACAGGATGTTCGGTTTAAATGTGGAACATTTCGATGTGCGTATTATTATCCCTCACTCGAATAACGTTACAATTCAGTTTGCATTGTTTGAAAAATATTACCTTTACATTGAGATTACTTTAAATGATGTGTGTGACTGCATGTACCACTAAGCAAATGGCAAGATCATTAAATGTAAAGCACAAGTAAAATTATTAACAGGGGACCAAGTATACATTGTTATTCACCTGTGCCCAAGCACTATACAGACCCATCCATCGTTCCATTGCAATATGTAGTTGGATACATTAATAGGTTTGTGCTTCAGAACTTGAATAAATATTTTGATTGCCAAGTTACTGGACCTACGGAAATTCTCGTCAGGTTTATGCGAGCTACCAACCATTCTGATAGCTATGTTTCCATCAAGTGATAAATGTTAGCTTGGTGTGTTTTAAATCAAATGCAAAAGCAGGCATGTCAGACGTGATTAGGCTTAATTGGACTCCTCTTGTGTGTTGAAATACTACACACACAGCCAAACCTATTTATGGGAATATAATAAATGAATAAAATGTACTTCTGCAGCAACATTCATAAAGGGCATTAGTGAAGAGTAAGATAACCCCATTAGTAAATACATTTATTTTCCTAATATATACAATTAGCCTGTTTTTTTTAAGTGTTTCAGCTTGCATAGAAAAGGTATGTCTAATTGATGAATGTCCACCTTTGACTTTTTTGTTTGCATCCATGAACCAAATAATTGACTTGAAATTTTGAAGCAAAATTTGTTTAACAGTTTTCATCATGCCCCACACCTACTTAAAGATAGGTTACAAGTGTAGTCACATCATGAACACTTGCCATTTTTGAAAAATACAGTGGAATATACTAGTTTGATCTACATTGTGCATAAACTAATAATTAACTATCAACAAATGCAAATGCCATTATCGATGAAACAGATTTACAAAAAAATAATTGTATACGAGCCTTATTTTTGCATTTGTGTTTATAGGGTCTATTCAGAGGTTTTCAACTTCTGGTTCTTGCACCCTACCACATTTTCCAGTTTACCAATTTATCCATTGAAATGTTATTTAACGATATTGCATGCATCTGTTGAATAATAAGTGTATTATTTGGCGGGGGGGGGGGGGGGGGGTGAGTTCGAGGACTGCAGTTGAGAGCCCCTGAATGTCGATGGTGCACAACACAAGTATTTGATGCACATTTGTGAAACTACAAAGCTACTGAAATGCAAGAACGTAGGCAGAGTGATTAGAATATTGATGAACATAAAGAGTGTTCAATGATATATTCTGGTCTTAAACGTCGGTTTCAAAGGAAATTGCTTATGAGAACCTTGGGGCAAATTGTAGTGGTTGGTGAGTTGATTATTTTTGGGTGCTCTGGTGTCCCATTGCACAATCTTTACCCGTTCTCAAGATCCCTGAAATTTTAAAAATAGGTTTATATAGTTTATGGGAACAGCCATTTAACTTGTATATGCTTCCCTCAACAAAGGCTTCAATAATAGTGTACTTTGTTAAGTACATTTATGGGTTTTTCATTGACTATGTACATTATAGTCAATGTAGCACATGCTGTGTCCTTTGTGTCCTATGCTCTGAATAGTACTGTATGTATCGCTGATAATTTGTCAAATGTTACACCTGGAGATGTAAACATGTAAGCTTTATAGCTATTTTCTAAGCTATTGAACAAGTTGCTTTTGGACTATTTAAAAGGACAGGCGATGAAAAACGAATTACAGTTTGTACATTTTCATTATTTTTGTTTAGTCTGCAGTGCAGAATTGGCATTATTTTATTGTCTTTCGTTTCTGTTGAAAGTACATTTGAATACAGAAATGCATTCTAATAACTGTACTGTAACTGATGTGCACTGATAAGATAATTGCAAGTTTTACATTTCAATCTTTAAAGTGTTTATAGGTGTTTTATACATTTAAACAGCGTAAAATGGAATTTGTATTAAGCTTTTTAAAAGCATGAAATGAAATGCGTAACTTATTCTATTTAATAAATAAAATACCGCTTACATTACATTGCACATTGGTAGGTGGAGATGTGAATTATTGTGAGGTAATTTATTATGGCTACGTGGTTATTGTTACAGTATATGAATTTACATAAGCGTTTGGTTGCTTACTGGAGTAGTGTCATGGGAAGCAATTATGTATATCCATTGCGTGTATGTATGGAAGTAATTTTGTACATTAATTTTCTTCAGGTTGCAATTGTAACCAGACTACTGTAATATTAAATGTGGAAGACTCTATGCGTGGCGTCTCTTTTTGTACTCCAGTCAGCAGTTTGTACTACTGTCCGTTTTTAAATTAATAGTTTATCCAATAACTCATTAAACAATGTAAACAAAATAACTGTATGCGGTCACATTTTTTGTGATTGGTCATTTTTCACGATAGTAAATTACATGTAGTTTATTTGATTTTACCAAATTCCATGCAAAACTATTCCTTTGGAATGTGACAAATGAGGTTAGCATTCAAGTTGCGCGACACGTCATTTACAGTAAAAGTGTTTCAAAGACCATTTTAATTAGAAGCACGTCGTGCATTTATTTCACTACAGTACTCGGGGCACTGTTTAATGGGGGACAGAAGAGCACTTGTTCGTTGAAATAATGACCATAACATTAAATGCCCTCCCCCCTAACAGTAATTCAGCTCTGAATGTCAACGTAATGACCTATTTGCGCACATGAAAGGAGCCAGTGTTTTTGTTGTAACGTGTCCCCAATGTGTGGCATCGGTATCTAGTATTGATGCTACATTTTCATTCCAAGTTTTAATGGATTATGTAAAATGCTACCGTTTTCCTACTACTTTGACAAAAGGGCTTTATCAAGATAATATTAACCGTTATTGGTAATGTATGCACAAAAATATTAACCAGTTGTAATTTGTATTTCTTTCTGGCTTGCAAATATTGCTTTAGTTGCAAGCTAAAGCCCAATGTTCCATAGCAAAGTCTACATTAAAATGTACAGTACATATACTGCGCCAAATTAATGTATTGCACTTTTTAAAATTCGTAAATTAAATTACAAACTTAACCAAATTAAAACAATATTTTATTTACTTAGAAGACAGATTATTGTTGTCAAACATGGGCCGGATAGTCCAGCTGATAAACCAAATTACTAACTTTTGTGTACAAGTGCAACTTTTTACACTGTTTTTGTAATGTCTTTAATAAAGTGCCATTCTCGGCCCCTTTCTCTCAATTGATCTCTTAGCAAATTAATCTCCAATTTTAATATCAACCTTAATTTATGTGATGGTGACACGCAGCTCTATATCACCATTGACTTCTCAAATTCAATCTCACTGCCCACCAACAACCTGCCCTGGCATGGTACATTTTTGGATCAGTTCTAACGTCCTACAACTAGATATTGTAATAATGTAGGCAGTGTTTATTAACAAAGATCACTCGGGGAAAAAAAACCCCTCCAGTTTGACAATCTCCTAAACTCTGAAATGATACTGGCAGTGTGTGAAACCCTAAAGTTATTCATCCTCTGCATGACTACATCTGCTCCTGCCATATCCTTACCCCTCTGCTGCTGTAACTCATCACTTCATCACATCTTGACACGACCATTGCAACTATCTCTTTTCTTAGACCTTCCTCATGACTACAAATCCCTCCTCTAAACTTTAGAACGTCCAAAATGCAACTGCTCACCTACTTGCACCAAATAAACTAGATCGCATCAATGCACCAACCCCTCCACTGATGTCCAAGCAATTCAATACCGGGTCAATTTGATGATGCCACTCAAATCCTCCAAGGACGTCCCACTGCCTGCCTCGTTTTGTCAAAGCCCTTAGTCAAACCTTCGCTCAGTGGGAGGTTGCTCATTCTCCTCTGCTGCCTCCACTGTAATTCCCTCCCGTCCATGCTTTCGTCTCATTGTTTAACTCCAGGCTTCAAGAACTTTTTTTTTCCTCAATGTAATTAACGTTCCCGCTGCTTCCATGCAGTGTCTTACGATGCAGTCGCATTTCGATGCCATGTAAATCTAAAGCGTGCGGCCCTTTTTTTTTAGGACACTGCGTTCTGGTGCCTTCGCTGTGGCACGCCGTGAAGTGTGGCACGCAAGCACGCATTAGTCCAGTGTATCCGTGCTACACAGGCACGCATGCATTAGTGTGGTGTATCCGTGCCCACACACACCGTGCCACACAGGCACGCATGCATTAGTGTGGTGTATCCGTGCCCACACACCGTGCCACACAGGCACGCATGCATTAGTGCGGTGTATCCGTGCCCACACACACCGTGCCACACAGGCACGCATGCATTAGTGCGGTGTTCCCGTGTCACACAGGAACGCATGCTTTAGTGTGGTGTATCCGTGCCCACACACACCGTGCCACACAGGCACGCATGTATTAGTGTGGTGTATCCGTGCTACACAGGCACGCATGCATTAGTGCAGTGTATCCGTGCCACACAGGCACGCATTCATTAGTGCGGTGTATCCGTGCTACACAGGCACGCATGCATTAGTGCGGTGTATCCGTGCCCACACACACCGTGCCACACAGGCACGCATGCATTAGTGCGGTGTATCCGTGCCCGCACCCACCGTGCCACACAGGCACGCATGCATTAGTGCGGTGTATCCGTGCCCGCACCCACCGTGCCACACAGGCACGCATGCATTAGTGCGGTGTATCCGTGCCACGCAGGCACGCATGCATTAGTGCGGTGTATCCGTGCCCGCACACACCGTGCCACACAGGCACGCATGCATTAGTGCGGTGTATCCGTGCCACGCAGGCACGCATGCATTAGTGCGGTGTATCCGTGCCCGCACACACCGTGCCACACAGGCACGCATGCATTAGTGCGGTGTATCCGTGCCCGCACACACCGTGCCACACAGGCACGCATGCATTAGTGCGGTGTATCCGTGCCCGCACACACCGTGCCACACAGGCACGCATGCATTAGCCTTTGACCGGGGCGGAGCGCGCCGCGTCGCTCCTCCCCGCGCACCTTCAGGCGCCACCACCTCGCTGCTTCCTGGCCCGCGTCTCTTCTTCCCTCCGCCTCCCCGCCACCGCCACCACCGCCGCCGCTGCTGCTTTTATCGCAAACTTCGCCCCTCTCTTCTCCGAACTGTGAAACTCACGGCGGCCCCCGAGCGCTTCCCCCGCCGAAGCGTCGCCTCGAGGTGAGGACCGCCCGCGCCACGCCGCTCCCGAGGGGGCGGACGCGGTGGAGTTTGTGTCCGAGCGCAGTACCTGCGCGGACGGGCGGACCGCTTCCCTCCTGCACTACTCTCTCCCCTTCCTCCATCACAGATTCCGCCTCCCATCTCCTAGTCCATCGCAACTCCCTCCTCCTCCTCCTCCATCACGGCTCCTCCTCTCAGCCTTCTCCAACGTGAAACTCGGCACGTTCGTCACAGCTCCTTACACACCCACCCCCCTCTCTCTCTCTCTCGCCTCCTCCTTCCCTCGCTACTCCACTCCCGACAACATTTTTCTTCCACCCCAGATCCCTCCTCCTTCATCTCCCCCTCTGCTCCATGCCTACTCTACTCCACGCGTTCCTTACTAAAAACTGTCTCGGCTCCCTTCATCACTCTTCCTCTCCTTCCTCCGAATCTTCTCGAGACACTGCCGCATTTCTTTTGCCCCTCGTCCCCAATCCATCCGAGCTGCCGCCTCGCACAACCTCAATCTCGGCTACGTTCCTCGTCTTTCGTACCAGACAACCGCATCTCCTTCAATTTACTTGTTTAAAAAAAAGGTCCAGCTCCCGGTACTCAATCAACCACCACAGCACTGCCCTTAACCCTAGATCCTCACATGAGGCAATCGGTGCAATGGTTTTGTGGTCGACCCTGGCTGTAAGGGATGTGTATGTATGTGTGTGACTGCGTATCCACCACCACTGGGCTTGCCCACCACCCCTTGTTGGAGTGAGCACAGCAGTTCAAATGTTATGCCTCTTGTGGTGCTGGAACATTGCTGAGATACACGGGTTATTTTTGGTAATGTGTTGCAGTTTTCTTTATCACTTAAGTGATGGGATAATTGTTCCCGTGTCCACATTTTAAAGATCGTTTTTACGTGCATTATATAAATGCCAATCTCCCCGAGGGACAATTAGTTGCATTAAATATGTTAAGTGGAGTGTTATGTTAATTTATCATTTAAAACATTAGATGTGCCTGAAAAAAACCCCAATGTGTTTTAATAAAACCAGTCGCTTGGCATGAAGTTTGCATTTAAATTGAGGATAATTTAGTTGATACAATATCATGCTGATGAAGACATCAACGCCGTTTAAATATGGAGTGTAGTTTAGAGTAGTCAAACACTCCCTGTAAAGAGTGCTCTTTGTCACTGTTGAGTGTAAATCAAATACGTCATTTCCTTTTATTGTGATGTTTATTGCAGACATTTGAGCGATAGGCACCTGTTGATTGTCGAGGCCAACACAGCCAGTGGAGATGCTGAATGCGGAGACTGTTGGGGAGACAGCTGGGCGTAAGGGCTCTCCTCACCAGGTCACTTACAAAGGTAGCCTTCAAAGCTGCACCAAGATTGAATTTGAAGAACCCGCTGAAGAAAGTAAGAATGGTGACGATGGTTCTGCGGATGCTGACATGACAGATGGCGATCAACAAAGCTCAAATATTGAAAGAATTAAACATATGCTTTTCACGGAACCCCAGCGTATAGTATCACCAGATGCGCACATGAAGACTGCAAGACACGCGCACGTGTTACAAAAAGGTGACACCGCTGGAGTTACAAATCATGCGGAAAAGTTTTCTGAAACGAGGAAAGTTTTTGAAAAGACAAATTTTAAACCACAGTCAAGTTTGCAGTCGAGCATGAAAGATGCAAAATGGACATATCTTAAAAGTTCTCCCTTGGAGAAAGACGGTGAAGAAAAGCATTTTATAAGCCCAAAGGCTGAGTCTGGACTGCAAAAACAGCTGGGTTTATATAAAGAGTCATCTGTGTCAAGTTCAGTTAGTTCCACATCTTCAGATTCAAAAGTTCGATCACGTCTCAATTCTGGACCAATATCCAAAAGGCTGTCAAGCTTTTTACTTGATGACGATGAAGATGAAATTGAAGCTAATGCAGAAGAAACTTTCAGTTTTTCAGATCAGAGTAATGCAGAAAGTCCAAGTACACACACAACACACACGAGTTCAACTAAAGTGTATGGCAGCCCAGACAAAAATGTGTCCTCACCATTGTTTACTCCCCCTTTAAAA